GTAGTAAACATCTCGGGCAGAGGCAGGAAGAACTGTCTGTAATAATACAAGTGTTCTTATATGCCATAAGAATACATGTACATCAGGATATAATCTAAAACCATTAAGTACAGTGTGATTCATCTTCATAACTGTCATTTTCAAAACAAGAGGGCAGTACTAGCCAAACATCATGTCTGGCAAAATACCTCATCATTAAAACAATTACATCCGACATTGAAACATAGGTAATGTAGGAAACAAGATAATTTTTTCCTGCTTATATTTCTCTTTTCTTGAATTTTCTTGAAGTTTGTCTGGAATTTAAAACCAGGCATAAAAAGACTGAAAATAGTGGGTGGAACACTATTTCAAATCAAAGCAGACAGTTACATATTCATGTAATACAGATCATTATCGGCATATCCAAATCCTGCCTAAAAATTAAGCTACCTTAAATGATTTGATTGATGACAGTCCATCTTGAGATCTTTGATAGTCATATCTGGAGAACGGTCCCTTCAGCAGAGCTCCTGTGTGTCTCAGATTAATGTGTTCCTCAACAGCTATGTTTCCCCAGTGTGAAATTTCTATGATCCTTTCCAAATTGGTGACAGTCAGGAAAGGAGAATTGTTTTCATAGTGTACTCTCAATTCTGCCTGAAAGATAGATGAATGCTTTGAAGTTCAGTTCAGTGTTTTCCATTTATTTCAAAGTAAAGGGTTAGAGATCAGTTGTAACAGGCTAGAGGCTGAGGTTTATGACGAGAATCTCAGTGGCCCAGAGTTCCCGAAACTAGTCAAAAATCTGTCGGACAATTGTCCTGTAAATTTTTAAAATTCACCGGACAAATGTAAAATTTACCGGACATTAATTTTTTAGATAAAATGAAATCCACTTAAAAGTAATGCAAACAGTTAAAAAAATTCTTTAATTTATTCCTTTTCTCTCTCTATTTCCCATTCAGTTTGTCTTACCAGTTTGCCACTGTAGTCCATGATCAGGAAGACCTTAGGACATCTAAATGAAAAGTTAGCAAATACGTTTTTTTTTTTTATTAATTCATTAAAATATTTTCTATTAGGCCTATGTATCTGGGGTTAGACGTCGCTGACGGTGTATGATGACCAGGGCTTCATCGTATAAAAATTATGTCCTTTCTGACATATTTTATTTTTAAAATAAAATCTGCAACATGACGTCTTTTGTTTGATTGTTTTACTTAAGAATGTATTATACAGAAATATGTACTAATAATATAAAAATATGCAAATTAATCATGAAAATGATGATTTTAAGTGACATTTTTGTCGTTTTATTACATGAAGTCAGCTAGTCCGCTTTTTTTTGAAACGGGGAAACGCGCTTGTATAAAATGCTAACAAATGCATGGGGAAAAAAATCCAAAAATTAGTTTTACATTTATAGTTCTAATGAATTAATTTACAGAGAAAATAAAAATGGTAAGAAATTGTCTATAATCAAGCAGAAATAGCTGGCAACTTGGCTTGATCTTAACCATGTTAACCCTGCAAAGTTCGTCCTGCAAAACGAAGTAAATTGCCACATTTTTTACTGTCAGAACTTAAGAAGGAAAAATATTTGTTTGACAGGTTTTTTTTCCAGACTTATGGAGAATATTATTTTATTATGTAGCCTTTTATAGTAGACATACACCGTCTACATTTAAACAAGAATGCACGAGAATAATCTGGCGCACCACTGACGTTTTTTTTTTTTGAAATTTCTTTGGCTTTGCACGCTGATTGAATCTTGAATTAAATGATTTTGTTAAAATTATGTGTCATTGTTATACAGTCTGTAAAAAAAACCGTCGGACATGTTGACCGATAATATTTAAATTTTACCGGTCCCATTCAAAATTTACCGGGATCCCCGTGGACCGGTGCGTTTCGGGAACTCTGGTGGCCCTTGAAACAAATTTTTATTTCAAAGCAGCATTTTTGTCAATTGAAGCAGTCAATTTGGCCAGTAGCCGGTTCTTAGGGAAAACACTGTCAGTTACTCATTTTTTCTCACTTTCTGTAAATATTTAAATAAGTGGAGGTCTATATTTTACCTCAGCAAATGCTTCCCTTTGTTCATATGGTCCGTATGTAATTGTTCTGTCACTCTGGGAGACTGGTTTTGGAGATTTGCTGTAGGACTCATGGCAGTGTTTGTGGTAGTTACTGTTGTTGTCTGAGATTTAGTGACATATGGAGAATAAAAGTATACATTGCCATTATACAAAACTTGTTGTTTCTGACTCTTGTGTGATTTCTGCAGTGTAATGGTGTCAATGCATGAGCATACATCGAGTCCACATCAACTGTCATCGTCTTCCCCGCCTCCCGAGACTGGAGGGAGGTCATATTCTAGTCATCTCTGTGGAATAGATACAATGGTTAGACCAAAACATCTGATACTCTAAGCTCACAACTCTCACACAACATTTTGGGATTGGGGTCGGGCCATTAAATTTGGGAAAATTTGCACCATTTCTGAGATAATCATTATATCTGAACATTAAAATCCTCACATATACATGAACACCAAAATCCTTATATATTGGATTATCTGTTAATTAAATTAGTTTTACTGCACAGAGAAATACGAGTAGCAAGTTAATTTATAATATATGCAATGATTGTTCTCTTTCTTTAGGAGGGGAACTTTAGAAAAATAAAAACAACTATTAATAAATCTGGGTTGCATAGTTGGTACCTGACTATTGATGCAAGGAACCCAAGTTTGGATGAGGGCAAATTATTGAAACGAATTAAGGAATGAAGGGTGTAATGATATAGAGATATCCGCTCAGTCTGGTTAGCTAGGATTCTAAAGCACAGTAGACTTACTTTTTAGATGAAACAGTGGCTTTTGAAATTCCCAATTTTTCATCTTTGTCTTTAACCTAATAAAAAAATCCAGATCATCATGACTTATATACATGAAATAAAAATACAGAATGGGGAAATGTAGTTAGAATAATCTAACTGTGTCTCGGGACAAGCCCTCACCACAGTTAGAATACCACCCATACAACTCGCAATGTAGCAAAAAATTGCAATAATCGCTCCGAAACAATTTTGAAGAATACAAAGGGATTTGCACTGAAAATAACTTCCAAATTAATCATAACAAACCTTTTTGGGACTGTGTAAGTACTTAAACCTTAAGTTTAAACCAACGATTTTTCTCGCTTCAAATTTACACGCCATGTTTACGTTCGGAACTCTCTTGATTGTTCATAGTAAATGCACTAGTACGATTTATCGCCCTGTTTACTTTGTGAATACACGGAACGCATTCTATCTTTAAACCGGGTCGTAGGACATTTATCATTTTAACGATAGAACATCCTATCTAAGGGAAATGCAGTACCAGGAACCTGAAGACTTCCAAGTATCGTACATACAGACTTTAGAGGAAGTGATAAATAATGCATAAAACAATTTGCTAACATAAAGTCAATGGCACATTTAGATAGGAAGTTGACAAGTGCATACAGACAATATTAAATCAATGCTAAATGAGAGCAAGTTATTGCACTGTTGAGTGTTGTACTTACGTTTGCACTCAGGTATGAAAGGTAGTTTTGAAGCGATGACCGAGTGCGTATAAAGAAGGATTTTATTGGTGTTCTTCCAGCATTTTCTAACGTAACTGTTGTTGTCATTTTAACAAGGTGGGTTGACAAGTCAATTTTCCTTTCCACTTTACTGTTTATTACAGCATTGTCAATGGTATCTTGTCTCGCACTGCATTCGATACAAAAAATAATGCAAAGCCAAAATGCAAAATGCAAAAGAGGCTTCATGATCAAAGATGTTGTGATTGCACCAGATTTTTAGACGTCCCTTTCTTTCGACCCGGTTTCTCGACAAGTAAAACAGGAAGTTGTTGTCAGCTCTCGACAGCCTCGTTTTCAAAATTTAAAGCGTCAGCGTCTCGATTTTCCGGAAAGGACCCCAAAATACCCCAAGAGAGCCCAAAAGAGATTGAATAGGTACCTAAGAGAAAAAAAAAGAAGAAGAAGAAAAGAAATGACCATTATAAATACGAAGACACACATGTGACAAATTAGAGGGGAGTACAATCCTACAACACATGCGCACAATCGAGAAACTGTTGGTTGCAAATAAGACTGAGAAAAATAATCTGCCAATATTACTCTGGGTAAAAAATCAAGTTTCAAGAGTGGTTGGAGTAACAGCTTTCAAATCCTTTTGTTTTGTTCATTCAAGAAAACTGTTTATTGCAAACTCCAAAATACAAGAATATATTTCCGGATTTCACGGTAGAAAAGTGTTAGCTTTAGCTTGCATTTAAATTTACAATATCAAAAATAACTGAATTTAAGTCGTTTAATTAAAAAGTACATCCTCATCTAGAGTTAATGATGAATATATTTTTTTAAAGATTGCAATTTTCTTTGGCCTAACTTACTGGACAGTGGCAGGTAAAGTCACCAATGCATATCGAGATCGGTTTACCTGTAGGTGTTCAATAAATTGTTAACAATTGAAACTCCGGTCAGTGCTCTACCAACTGAGCTATCTGGCCACCGGCGATCGAACCCGGTGACCGCCAATTCCTCCCTCCTTAAAGGTCTTTGGCCCTCCAAAGAAAATCAGGTCTTTCACCTGTCATTGCATGGAGTAATTTAAAATGCTCGCAAAGATGTTTCTGACCGCCACAAAATTAACTAAAAGTCCAATCCTCAGGTTCTGAAAATGTATATACCCAAAGTGTTTCTTATAATGTGTATATCAGTGTTTCTTTAAATTCATCTTTAAAGTAAATCATGTTATACAGGGAAAATCTAAAATAAATTTTCAGAAATTGCGAATAAAACTATACATAATGCATATTTTCTAAATGAAAATGATCAACAAATACATTTTAGGAGGAAAAATCATAGGTATCCCGGCTTTTAAAGAAAATGGTATGATTTTTTTTTTACTTATTCGGTTCTTTAGTTTCTCCTTTTACATCTATCATTTTATAATTCATAGTGTATATGAAGTGTTTCCTATCAAAGAAAACACTTATAAATAACTTCTTATTTCATATCATGCTAATAAACACTTATAACTAAGGCTATTTTAAAAGAACTTCGATTTCTGTATAAAACAGGTTGGGGGAAAACGTCAATTCCGCTATAACAGAGGTATATCACTTTTGTTCACTATGGAACGCCGTCACTGCCTTATAGCAGAACACTACTATTGCATTGTGTCAACCTTCCATTACATTACGTCAACTCTTTATGACATTAACCTACACTACTATTGCATTGTGTCAACCTTCCGTTACATTATGTCAGCTCTTAATGACATTAACCTACACTACTATTGCATTTTATTATACTTTCATGTTAAATACTAAAATCTGATTGGTTTAGACGCAGTTAACAATCCGTTCGATTACCTTGAGCCTTAGCAACACACGTGACAACGGGTAACACAACGGTAATGCCACATGCGTCGAAATTATGCGCGTACGGTTCACCGTAGAATTCTCAAAACGTCAGTTGCGCGTTTGAAAGAACCGGAATTAACTTTTTGACGTCAATAAAAGCTTGCGTCCGATAAAGCTTACTTGAAAACAACAAACGACAGACGATACATGCTTGCGAGTGTAGGAGACATGCTTGCGAGCCAGAAATAACGAAGCTTTATATGATAAATGACTCTAATTCGAGTATCAAACAAACAATAAGGAGATTAGTGAACCGGTGAGTGTGAAATCTTTCTATACTTGAACGTAAAGACGATCGACGGTTTTTTTTTTGCTGACGTCCTTAATCAATAAGACATTCAGTATAATAAAATAAATGGTGCCTGTTTTGAAGGGTAACATTTGAAATTGACACCCCTCGGAAAACCATTGTCAACCTCCGCTGACGCGTCGGTTAACAATGGTTTTCCTTGGGGTGTCAATTTCAAATGTTACCCCCAAAACAGGCACCATTTATATAGTGTTAACTTTCCTTTACATCATGTCAACTCTTTATGACATTTACCCACTACTATTACATTGTGTTAACTTTCCTTTACATTATGTCAACTCTTTATGACATTTACCCACTACTATTACATCGTGTTAACTTTCCTTTACATTATGTCAACTCTTTATGACATTTACCCACTACTATTACATCGTGTTAACTTTCCTTTACATTATATCAACTCTTTATGACATTTACACGTACTAAAATTATATTTCGTCAACTTGCATTTCGTTATGTTTACTTTTCATGACAACTTAGTTTTTACTAACTGATGTGAAAAGCTCATATCATACTGTGCGCACTCTTCTACATTATGTCGATTCACTATTAAGTTTAGCTGCAATAATGTAGCCTCTCTCCGATTTTTTTTATCTGATATTTTCTGGAGAGGGCTACAATTCCATCGCATCTCCGTAATGGTGCAAATATATTTTTTTGATACGGGTGATTGGAGGCAAAATAAATTATTTTTACATTAAACTTACTTCTTATAAGACGGAATTTTTATTCACTGTCCACAACATAGCCTGTTAAACTCGAAAACCATGTAAAATAAATCTGTGTCTTTCCCAGCTGCAATATTCAGCAGCTTGACAGTTCACGCGTGACGTAGTGAGACTTTCGCTTGAAATTTGGAACAACCAAATAAAGCAAATGTCAATGTTTATAAACGATTGTGCTACAATATATTATAAAAACATCGATAAATAAAACCATTTCAAGTGTTATTTTTGCGCAAACAGCGATACATATGCTTAAAATATGGGAATTCCTAGTAGATCCGCTCCTATAGAACCTAAATTCTCATTGGCTATCCCAAAATACAATCCATTAAGGTCAGTAAACATGGCGGATAAATTCAAGTTATGCTGTTGACACACACGAAAAATAACCGATATATGGGTCGTTGTGAATATTTTTGGATCGATTTATGTTTTGCATAATTACATATTTGGATTCCAGGTAAGAGATAATAATAAAATAGCCATTTACTGATAATTTGAGCCGAAATCCGTGCGGGAGTGATCCACTGCCGCATCTGCGCCATTATAGAGATCCTAAGGAGTTGTAGCCCTCTCCCCAAAAAAAAATCGGAGAGGGCTACATTATTGCAGCTATATTAAGTTATGCGAACACGGGTATGCTCGGCCTTTATACATGTATGAACATAACGTATTTTCCGCGTTCCGCGAGCACTGACAATGGCGGGAGAGAAAACTGTCATAGAAGAGATTCTCAGCGATTTGG